ACCTCTAGCTCATCCAAAACAAGCCTAAGACACATGAACATAGAATAACGTGTAGCCCATGTATTTGAAACTTCAGAAATAATAGCAACTGAAGTAAAGAAACAACTCCATGAAGCTGTGAAGGAACTCAGATCAGAAATAATCTCCTAGGTAAAAGAAGAAATGATAAATATAATAAAATAAATGCTGAACACATCTAAAGAACATAGTTTTAAAAAATTGAGGAGCACTGCTAAAAGATGGAAACATGAATAAACAATATAAAAAAGAAATAGAATACATGAAACAAATTCAAAGACATATCCAGGAATCAAAAATTCCATCAAAATCTGGCAAAACTATCTGAATGAATGTGGAAATAGATTTTCAGAACTTGAAGACAAGATTTCAGCTAGTGAACAAGAAAGGAAAGATCTTTTAAAAGGAACATGGAATTAGGAAATAATAATTGAATAGTTGCTATATGATGCAAATAAAACAACATAAAGTTGATAGGTATAAATGAAAAATAAGATGACAAAACAAATGATATTAAAAGTCTATTTACAGAAGTAATAGTCAAAAATTTCCCAAACATGGGAAAGGAAATTGACTTGCAGATAAGTGAAGCATATTGAACTTTAATTAGACATAAGGAAAATAAATCTACACCCAGTATATAATAATCAACATCCCAGAAATTCAACATAAGAACAGAATATTAAAAGCTGTTACAGAAAAGAGACATTATCTACTGAGAAAAGCCCATCAGAATCACAGCAGACTTCTCAACACAAGCAATGAAGTCAAGAACAGCATGGAGTACATACAGCATTTCAAGTCCTAAAGGAAAATGGATTCCAACCTAGATTGATGTACCTTGCAAAACTGCCCTTCAAAATTGATGGAGAAATAAGATACTTTTATGACAAAGAAAGGTGAAGAACTTCATGACCACCAAACCAAGCCTGAAAAGAATACTGAAAGATATTCTAGATAGATATAATAATAACGATGAATTCAAGAAAACCAACAGAAAAAAACCACTAAGCAAGGCAAACGATTAAACAGAAGGCAAATATAACAGCAGAAAGATAATATGACAGAAATAAGCCAATATATGTTAGTTTTAGTCACTAATGTAAATGGCCTCAATTCATAAATTAAAAGAAACAGACTGGAAGAAGTGATCAAGAAACAACATCTAACCATAGGCTGCATACACAAAATCCATCTAACTCAAAAGGAAATTCATAGATTGAAAGTCAAAGGATAAAAAGCAATACTTCATGCAACAGGAACCACCATTCTCCTGCCAAAAAAAAAAAAAGCAGGGATAGCTATTCTGTTTGCAGACAATGAGAACTTCAAACTAAGAATTATCAGAAGAGATAAAGAAGATCACTAAATACTAATTAGGGGAAAACTTCAAGAGGAAGAGATAATAATCCTAAATATATATGCATCAAATTGGGAGTACCCAGCTATATAAAATAAATAACAGAAATGAAAAACCAAATAAGCAATAACATGGTTATAATGAGAGACCTTAACACTCCATTGACAAAAGTTATAGATTGACTAGACAGAAAGTCAGCAAAGAAATAACAAAATGGAATGAACCTTGTGAACAAATGCACTTAGTAGATGTATACAGAATATTCCACCCAGAAATGTCATAATATACATTCTTCTCAACTTCACATGAGACATACTCTAAAACAGATCATATCCTAGCCCATAGAACATGCTTAAGTAAATGCAAAAGAATCAAAATTATCCCATGCATATTATCTGATCATAGTGCCATGAAACTAGAAATTAATGACAAACGAAACTGGAAAAACTCTATAAAAACATGGAAATTAAATAATACACTCCTGAACATACAGTGGGGCACAGAAGAAGTTAAAGAAGAAATTGAACAATATCTTTAAGCAAACTAAAATACAATACAACTTACTGGAACCTGTGGGATACAATGAAAATAGTCATTAGAGAGAAATTTTTGTGGTGAATTCCCACATGAGGAAAACAGAATGAACACAAATAAACAACTTGATGCTACATCTCAAACATCTAAAAAAGAAAAGCAAGTCAAGCCCAAAGCCCAAAGAAGAAAAGAAATTATAAAGATCAGAGCAGAAATCGACACAATAGAGACTAAGAAAAGAATACAAAGAATTGACGAATCAAAGAGTAGGTTTGAAAGAATAAATAAAATTGATAAGCCACTAGCCATTCTTAATAATGAAAGGAAAAAAACCCCTCAAATTCATGCAATGAAGAATAAAAAGGACAAAATCACTACAGGCCCTGTGGAAATACAGTAGATCATCAATACCTGTTATCATAGGCTTGATAGGACAGATTTCTAGAAATGTGTGAATTACCAAAGCTGAATCAAGATGTAAAGCAGCTGAATAACCCAATTTCAATTGACGAAATTGAAAATGTAATTAGAAACTTACCAACAAGAAAAGCCCTCATCCTGTTGGATTCACTATAGAATTCTACAAGAAATTCAAGGAAGACTTCAATTCCAACACTCCTCAAACTCTTCAGTGAAATTGAAAAGGAAGCAATTCTCTGTAACTCATTCCTAGAAGCAAGTATTAGTGTAATACCAAAACCAGAGAAAGATTGAAGCAAAAAAGAGAACTACGGGCCAGTCTCCCTAATGAACATTGAAGCAAAATTTCTCAATAAAATACTGGCAAACAGAATGCAGCAAATCATCAAGAAGATTATACACCACAACCAAGTGGGATTCACCCCAGGAATGCAGGGATAGTTTAACATACACAAATAAATAAACATGATACCATATCATAATACCATACCATATCAATAGAGCCAAAGATAAGAATCACATGATCATTTCAATAGGTACAGAAATAGATAAAGTCCAACACTCATTCATGATAAGGTCCCTACATAAAATCCCAATAGATGGACTTTACCTCAATCTAATAATAAAAGCCATCTATGGTAAAACCAACACCTAGCATCATATTAAATGGTCAAAAACTGAAACTTTTAACCCTAAAAATCAGGAACAAGACAAGGATGACTATTATCGCCACTCCTATTCGATACAGTGCTGGAAACATTACTCAGAACAATTACAGAAGAGAGAGAAATAAAAAGAATAAGGATAGGAAAGGGAAAAGTTAAATTATCATTATTTTCAGATGTCATAATACTCTACATAGAAGACCCCCAAAACTCCATTGCAAGACTTAATAAAATTCAGTAATGTAGCTGGATACAAAGTCAACACTCAAAAATCAATAGCATTCCTGTATACAAACAACAAACTCACTGAGAGAGAAATAAGAGAAACCACACCCTTCACAATAGCATAAAAAAATAAAATACTTCGGAATCAGTCTAACAAAGGAAGTAAAACGTTTATTCAGTGAAAATTACAATACTCTGAAAAAATAAATCAAAAATCTCAGAAAATGGAAATCTATTGCTTGATGGATAGGAAGAACAAACATTGTGAAAATAGCCATTCTCCCTAAATTTCTATCCCGATTTAATGCAATTCCAATCAAAATATCATTAGCATACCTCACATATCTAGAGAAACCATTCCTAAAATTCATCTGGGACCAGAAGAGACCTAGAATAGCAAAGGGAATTCTCAGCAACAAAGGCAAGGCAAGAGGCATCACAATCCCTGACTTCAACTTATACTAAACAGCTACTGTGATAAAATTAGCATGGTACTGGAATAGAAACAAAAATGAAGTTCAGTGGAACAGATTAGAAGATATGACCACAACTGCAAACATATTCAGCCACCTTATCTTTGACAAAGGGGCAAAATAAATTCACTAGAAGAAAGATAGTCTCTTTAATAAGTGGTGCTGGAAAAACTGGCTTTCCATATGCTGAAAACTAAAACTAGACCCATGTCTATCACGATACAATAAACTAAAGTCAAAATGGATCAAAAATCTAAATATTAAAACAGAAACACTACATATACTAGAAGACATAAAAGGTAGAAATCCTGAAGACATAGCAGTAAGCAAAGACTTCATGAACAAAAATCAAACTGCACAGAAAGTACTCCTGGAATCAACTGGTGTCTCATCTTATCAAAAAGTTTTTGCATGTCAAAAGAAATCACCAACAAAGTGAAAAGAAAATTCAAAAATTGGAAAACTTAGTCAATTGTCTCTCAAACAAAGGACTTCTATCTAGGATATAATAAGAATTTTTAAAATATCAGACCCTCCAAATTCAAAGACCCAACCCTAAAATGGGCATTCTGAGATGAATACACATTTCTCAGGTGAAGAAATACAGATGGAAAATAAATACATGAAAACATGTTCAGCATTATTGGTCATCAGAGAAATACAAATTAAAACAACACTGAGATTCCATCTCACTCCAGAAAGAATGGCCACGATCAGAAAAACCTCCAATAGCAAATATTGGAAAGGCTTTGGGGTAAAAGAAACATTTCTGCACTGTTGGTGGGAGTATAGACTGATGCAACCACTGTGGAAATCAGTCTTGAGGTCCCTCAAAAAGCTAGGATTGGAAGTCCCATTTGAACCAGCTATTCTGCTTCTGGGCATATGCCCAGAAGAATTGAAAACATCATACCTCAGTGATATATGTTCACCCATGCTTATAGAAACACAATTTGTAATACCAAAATCGTGAAAACAACCTAAATGCCCATCCTCTGAGGAATGGATTTTAAAAATGTATTTTTATGCAATGGAATACTACTCAGCTATAAAGAAGGATCATTTGATAAGCAGTCTTCTCTCATAGATTTAGATGTACATATATTATATGTTTTACATCAATATAAAATAATTTTCCCTATAGAATAGGATTTGTATAAATAACCTTAATGCTGTAAGTTCCTTGTTCCTACTTTTTTCTTTACAATCAACAAGCACTTCATTTGTAAGATTCTTTGGGTGTTCCAGGAATATTAATTCTAGTATTCAGTCATTTAAGTCCAAATATAAAATATTGCTTCTTACCTAACTGTGCCTTAAGCGCATCTGAAATTTCAAGCATTATAGATGAAGGAAGTTTTACTGTGGTATCATTAAGACCTGGAATAATAAGGTGGACTGCAAGAAAACAGATGAAAATAAGATAGAAGAACATACATCATGAAGAAGGTTCAGACTATCAGATACTAGAACATAAGTCTTAGCATTTATTTTGCATAGTCATTTTTAAGCACAAATTTAAATATTGGGAAAATATGACGGTAGCTTTTCAACAGAATATTTTTCATTATAAGAATTGAACTTCTGATATCCTCTGGCCTTTAATTTATAGACCCAAAAATTGTAAAATAGCTCCTTTGGATGTGTAGTCAATGATAATGACTTTTAAAAGAGCAGTTCAAAATGAGAAAAATTCCTTCATAACTACAAATAATCCTGTTGGCAGGGAGGTTGAATGCCATCACTCCCATAGGAATGGGCTAAAGATCTATCTTAACACACCATGATATAGCCAGTACTTCTTGGTTCTTAGCTTGTAACAGACACAAGCCAGAATTTTCAATAGTTAGAGAAAATGAATTGATATTAATATAACACACCTGCTCACAGGCTTTAAGGGCCCTATTAGCAAAAGACAGGTTGACTTGCTTATTATAGGCAAACATTTCAATATTGACTTACCCAGTATTGTCCCACCAAAGGGAGTCTTATCTGGTGATTTAGTTGAAGCTTTATGAGTAACATTTTGAATCACTGTTGAAATATAAAAAGATAATAGTGTAATGAAGGAAAGTTAGTAATAGAAAATCATTTGCCATGGAAAACTCCTAACCTAAATTCATCAGTAAATAGAAAACAATTCATAAGGCTGATTATATATTCAAGGATTAGCAGACAGCTCTAACCTCAACATCTTTAAGTATTTTTATGTTATTGTTTATAGTATTGTTATTCTATCATAAACTGTTCTGAGTACAATTTCCTTTCCATCTCCATTCACTGGACCCTAACCTCTCCCTGAGTCAGAACTATCATAAAATGTAACAATGAAATAATAAAAAATTAGGAAACATTCTCAAAACAAAGACTCGAGGTAATTCCAGTACTAACTAACCTTGTTTTGAGAGAATAATTAGAACATTACATTTTCTTAAAATGAACTATCTCTTTCACCAAGAAACTTTCTAAAAATAGTGATTCACTTTAATAGATTAAAAAATTGAAACATAAAACAAACAAAAAACAACTAAATACTAAAATGAAACAAGATTCTATAATTTTTAAATATGGATATTTTTATAATCCCAAAATGGCCACTAAATCAGTTTTAATTTTTAATATCCTAAAGAAAATATTACATTAATGGTTTTTTACATGTATACTAACTTAATTCTGAGCAAACCCCACATATTTCAGACCTTTTAAAATTTAATACTTGTTATAGCTGCTTTGTTCAGAGTTGTCTAACCACTGTGACTTGCCCAAAATTTTGCCTATTAGTACAAGAGTCAAAATTATCTATTAGCTGCTAATTTACTAGCCCATACTAATTTCTTCATAGTTTCCATTTTTCTGGAAAAACAGCAATCATAAAAATTGAAAAAATATGCTAGCTTCCACTACCTCAGTTAAAAGTATATTAAAAATAGTTCACACATATCTAGAATAGACTGAATACCTTGCTTGATGATTGTTATTGGAATTAACTTCCTTGGGACATATGCTGGCTGAAAAGAGAGGGAGAAAATCAATTTTCACATCATTTTCAATAATTTAAACAAAGAAACCTTGGAGTTGTGAGGTAGTCTTTTTTGCCTTCAAGGAGGTCTCCTATGGTCTCCTATGGTACATATTTAGTGGTCATGGATGGTATTTTAGCACACACATCTCACACATCTTCCCATTGTGTTGGTCTCATTTGTTTTTTCCCATAAATATACAAAGTGTTGACAGAAGCAACTTTTTTTCAGAACTTGCATTTAGTTAGAAACTGCAGTGGAAAAAACAAATCCTCTATATCTAGTATGACACCAACCTGGTTCTGTCTTTACATTCCTCTCCAAACCTTTCTGAGTTATATGTTGTTTTTAAAAAACCAGTCAGTATCATTTGCATATACTCAGTTGCTCTTGCTTTTACTGCAAACACCACAGCCACCATAAACTCCTGGTCAAAAGCGTTTGTTGCCCAAGAGGGCAAAGTCAGGACTATATAAGACATTCTCTGCCTTTCAGGCTGGTCAACCAGGCTAAAACATATTTATACACAAAGAATCTCAGAATTAGCAGGACAGATCCCAAAGGACTATACGTGACTCTCTTCACTCAAATTCCTCAGACATTTTATGGAAATCTTGATATCACAATGACTAAGGACAGTTTTAGAGATTACAGTGGAATCAGTGCCCAACATGATCACAAGGCAAAAGATAAGAAAGATGAAGAACTGGGCAACAAATTCATGTAGGAGGCTTATAACAGAGTTGAAAAGATAGCAATGAAATTGATTATTTTGTTACTTGGTTTATTCTTCTACATGTTATAGACATACCATGTAGCAGATTTTCAAGCATGTGAGATATTTACCAGACCAATGCTTATCACTGTGAGCAAAAAGGATTCTTAGCATGTTATCATTTTAATAAATGATATGTTCATGATAAAGAAAAGCACAACACCAGCTTTACTGTTGGCAATTTTTCTTAGTTAGGGTCTTTGTGTTTAAAAATCACAAAAATTGAAACTTTAATATCACCTAATTTTTGAAAATAGATATCAAAACTCACTGACCAAAGTAACCTCCTTAACATCCCAAACTAAGGAATTAGTTAAAAATACAATCATTCATATTTAGATTTTTACTAATATAATTAAAAACATCATCCAAAAGGTACAGTTCTTATTAAATAAATTATTGTTCTAAAGTTTTGAACAATTTCTTCCTACTTCACAGTATCTTTTATATACTTTGGTCCCTATTTACCTATTCAGCAGCACATACCAGAAAAACAATGTAATATTTACATATGTGTGCATGTTTTTTTTTTTTTTCACTTGAGAGTATGGTCTCCAGATGCATTCATTTACCTGGGAATGTCTGAAGTTTATACTTCTTTATAGCTGAGTAATACTCATTGTATAAAAAAAACCCACATTGTTTTATCAGTTCCTGGATTGATGGCCATTTGAGTTGTTTGTAAGATTTTAGCTATTACAAACTGTGCTTCTATAAACATGAATGTGCAAAATCATTGTGGTATGATGTTTTCAGGTATGAGATACAAATGTGTAAATAAGAACCAAAGTATATGAAAGGTATTGTGAAATAGGAACTAACTGTTCAAAAGAAAGGGGAATTAGGAATGGGGAGGGGAAAGGAAAGAAGGGAAAGAAGAATAGAAGGAAAAAAACAGGAACAATTTTTTTGTAAATAAGGAGGGGAAGGGTTGAAATGAGGAGAGGAAGTTGGAGAAAAAAGACAAGTCATATACAAGCACAAACTCCCTCTGGTAAATGTGATAAACATGTATATATAAATTGAACCAATAAAATTAATTTTAAAAAATCAAAACAAAGCAAAATTTTTATTTGTTTTTTAAAATGGAAACATAAGAATATATGTGTACCTATTATAAATATATATCTATATATAATATGTATATATATATGCACAAAGGATACAAATTTGCTTCCACAATCCAACCCAATTTCATAACAAACACATAGACAAAAGACCAAAAGGAAATACAAATTTGTTGTTTTTAACAGTTGTTAGAGGATCCTGGGAAGACGGTGGATTGATAGGTAGCAGGGTAGAGAGCCTCTCTGAGAAAAAACAACTCAGACCTTAGAATTTAACACCATCGAGAAAACAAGATGAAAGAAGAAGGATTCTCATGACCCAGGAAGAAACTGAGGAAAAAGAAAAAGAAAGGAAGGAAAAACATGGATGAAAGGCTGGAACCAGACACACTCTCACTGGGGCTGGTCCTGCACTGTGCTGCATGCACCTTGGAGTCAGATGACTCATGGTCACACTGAAGATGTGGTAGTGCCAAAATCAGGGTTGTGAGCCCAAGGCCCCTGGCAGGAGGATGTGGTGTAATGGAGAGTGGAACCAACAGGGAGAGCTGCACTAACCCATGGTGAGTGCTAGGAATTTGGTCCCTCAGAGGGAGTGACTAGCTGGACAACACATTGGCATTGGGCAGAACAGGCCTGAACCTGGAACTGCAGTGGCATCAGTCAGCCTGCCCCTGGCCCAAAGCAGGCTGGTGGGGTCTCCTTAGGTTGTGTCACACCCCTCATTGGGACCCAATAGCCAGGGATGAAACTGTCCTGACCCTGTGACATCCACACAGCACAGACTAACATGGAAAAGGCACTTGCTGGTTGACTGGCTCAGAGAAGAGGGGCCAGCCCACATTGTCCCTGTGTGCACATCACAGATCAACAGCAAACTAGAGAGAGCAGCAATCTGCTAGCCAGCACACTTCAGAAAAGCAACAAGCAATGTGGAAAGCACCTGAGACCTCCACCATATGCCTGTCTGAAAGAAACCAGAAACATGACAAGAGAAAGAAACAAGAAAAAGCCTCCAGCTGCTGACCCAGGGAAAATAAGTCCAGGAGAGGTAAATACAGAAGAGATCAGCAAACATGCAATATTGGACACAGGCATCAGCAGACATAAAGAAATACCTTTGAGACCTCACAGACTAACTTAAAACTGAAATCCTAATTCAAGTGAAGCAAGATATAAAAAGATTAATAAAATGAATGGTAAGTACCTGTCAAGAAGACACAGATAGAAGAATGGAGGAACCCACAAAAAGGAGAGAAACATTTGATGAAGAATATAAACAGAATCTAGAATATATGAAACAGATCCAAAGAGATTATCAGGGAATTAAAAACTCCACTGAAATCTGGAAAATTTCCTTGACAGAAACTAAAGTTAGACTTTCAAAAATTGAAGATAGATTTGCAATGTCTGATTGTTAAAGGAAAGATCTCTTAAAAATAACAAGGAACCAGGAAGTAACAATACAAAGGCTAGAAGATGACAAGAGGATCTATAACTTAAAAATTAAAAAAAAGCAAAGAAGCAGGAGGAAACGCATATGAAATTCAAAGGCTATTCACAGAAATAACTAAGGAAAACTTCCCATGCATAGGAAAAGGAAATGATATGTAGAAATATGATGCATACAGAACTCCAGTCAGCTAAAACCAAAACAGATCTACACCCTGACATATAATAATAAAGATCCTGGCTTCCAGTAAAGATAGTGGATAGATAAGAGCAGAATACAGAGACTCCCTGAAACAGACAACTCAGATGCCAAAATAACACAATATGGGGAGTTCCAGACAGAAGGAGATGGATCCTCTCAACCCAAGAAGAAACTAAAGTGAAAAGAACCAGTCAAACGTGCAGTCCTGAGCTACTATTGAGGCAGCTAAGATTCTGTGCTTTCATGCACCCAAATTCTCACTGCTTCGAGTTGGAACTGCATTTGTACTGAAGTTCAGTTGCATTGAAGTCCAGAGGTCAGCAAGCTCAACAAACAATGGAGCTGGCAAGGGACCTGCATTGACCTGCAGTGAGTGCCACAAGTAAACTCCTTCCACATAAAAGGCACCAATGATATGACATTTTGGAAACAAGCAGGACTGGAAAGAACAAGAAACAGCAGTGACTTCAGTCAGTTGTTCCCATCCCAGACAAGATTGGTGGGATATGCTTGGCTTGGGTCATGCCCTTGGCTGAGACCCAATAATCTGTCCCAAATCAATTCCCTATGCACGGTGCACATTAACACAGCGAAGGCCTCAGCAGGTTGATTGACCCTGAGGGGAGGAGCCAGCATACACTGCCCCTGTTTGCACCACAGTAACACACTGGAGTGGACAGGATTACCTAAAAGAACCATAACCAACAAGGAAAGGGACTGGGACCTCCTCTGTACATCTGTATGGAAGAAACCAAAAACATGAGAAAAGGAAGCAACAAGAAAAAGTTCCCAGCCCCCAACCCTGAGAACATTGATCCAGGAAAGGCAAATACATTAGAGACGGAGGACAGCAAACATGCAATATCAGACACGGCATCAGTGGACATAAAGAGATATCTTCAGGACCTCATAGATGAGTTCAAAAGTGAAGTATTTAACTAAGTAAAGCCAGATATATGTAGAGTAACAAAAGAAATGCTAATCATCTCTCAAGAAGACAGACATAAGAATGGAAGCACAAAAAAGGAGAGAAACATTTGATGAAGACTATAAAGAAAACATAGAATACATGAAGCAGGTTCAAAGAAATTACCAGGAAATAAAAAAACTCCATTGAAAGCTGGCAAAACTGCTTGAAGGAAACTAAGGATAGATTATCCAAATTGGAAGACCGGCTTGCAATGTGTGATCATTAAAGGAAAATTTTCTTAAAAATAACAAGCAAACAGGCAGTAACAATACAAAGGCTAGAAGACAACAAGAGGATCTATAACTTAAAAATAGAGATTGTGAATGAAGAAGCAGGGGAACAAACAAAGTAACTACAAAGGCTATTCACAGAAATAGTTAAGGAAAACTTCCCAAGCATAGGAAAAGGAAATGATATTCAGATGTATGAGGCATACAGAACTCCAGCCACCTACAACCAAAACAGAGCTACACCCAGGCATATAATAATCAAGATCCCAGAAATTCATAATAAGGACAGAAT